CTGTACATGAATGTATTCCGTGTTAGTGTATTTTCTATATTGCAGCAAATGCATTCAAAAATAATTTAATTCTCGGTATAGTTCTATTGTTTGGTTGATTTCTTACTTTTCAAACGTGTATTTCGTAAGTTTATTCAGTTTATGGACTTCTAAAAACTATGCTATCGGAGATGTGTACATGTCGACAGCCAGGCTAGAAAATCACTCAAGTGAAACAATTCTACAAGGCTATATATAGCAGGTACAGGTGGCCAAAAATCTTCGATAAATATGGCGGAATTGAACAAATATGGCGGACAAGGGCGTACAGGAATGTAGTAAGTCGTACAAAGATGAAAACTGATGCCTTTTTAAGAGTTCATGTCAGCTTTAAGATATACTATGTATTACGGCCACATATAAATAAATGATACAATAATTTTAATCATGGTAGCATTAGAAGATGTTATCAAATAAAAAAGCTCCAGCAAAGGATTTTACAAAATTTTGATTTTTGTCAAATTAGTTGCACCTTGAATTTTACATTGAAGTCTCTGGACAGCTAGCGCATGTTGTATTTTATCAGATATTGTAAAAAGTCAATTTCAAACAAATCTCTTGGTGGAAATATGCATAAACTCTCTCTTTATCAAACTATGAAAAAAAAAATAAATTACGCACCGCAGAAATGGTTTGAGAAATTAAAAAAATTTCTCTTTTCCATCAAGGGCAGATAACTTAAAAAATTTAAACGTGCAAAATGACTGTCTCCCTACATGTAATCAGTCTTGTGAATTAAGTTTATTTCACTTTTATCTTTATCTAGCAATGCGTTTTTAAAGGTACTTGGACACGGATATGAAGTTAATTTTTTCTGTATAATATTACGAATTAAACATTTTAATAGCATTTCACACAAAAATTAACTAAAAATCTTATTTCATTGAAAAGTTATTTCAACTTTGAATTTGTTGGAGGGTTTCATTGACACATCCTTGCACTTTCACATATTTTAACTTTATTCTTAATCCTTCAGAAAAGTGGCAATCTTGTTGTGTATTAATGAGAAATATTAAAATTTTAATCCAGAAAAATAATTTTATTCAAAGTAGAAAAGTTAGACAGCAAAACACCTTCACAATCATTGTCATTCCGAGCTAAGTCATGTGTGCAAATCGATCACACAGTTTTTGTAAAGAAGGCACGAGCTCTGTTTTTGTAGATGTTTAGATTTCAACGGGTGCGTTCAATTGTCAAAAGTCTGCTCACCACAACTGCAAGGACTGAGAATATATTGTGTGTTTGTTTTGCTTTCGAACATGTCTACTCTGAGTTTTCTGGATTGTATTAATATTTTCATTCATACACAACAAGATTGCCACTTTTCCTAAGTATTAAGAGTAAAATTAAAATTTGTGAAAGTGCAAGGATGTGTCAATAAAACACGCCAAAAAATTTAAAGCTTAAATAACTTTAAAATGAAATAAGATTTTTAATTAATTTTTGTACGAAATGCTATTAACATATATATATATATATATAATTCATACTATTAAAGTGAAAAAATTAACTTCATATCTTTGTTTAAGTACCTTTAACTGGTTTAAAATTTATTTAAATTCGTTCAAGATGCCTTCATTATACATTGAGTACCTTAAATACGAGACGGAGTCATAATATCTATTTAAGATCTCAGGTTAATGGTACATATTTTTTTGTAATTCATATTCGTTTTGAAGTTTAAAGGAAGCTCATTATACCACTTTTTGATGAGGTAGTTCTACAAAATAAAAATATCCTTTGTTTCGTCAATTTTCCTCTGGGGACGAATTTTACAGGTACTTTTATACTTTGACCCTGACCTTTATAAATTTTTAAATCATGTGATGTTTTAAACAGTGAAAAACAAAGAGACGGATTCATTATAAACTCTTTACAACTTACTGTACCGTTATGCAACTTACCATAAATGTTCACGTCATGGAAATAGAAATTTACCATTTCCCCGCAAGCACCTTATAGCTTAGTACACGTTTCTCTAAAGTTTAGTGTAAATAATATTATGACGCTATATTTAAATACAAAGATAACTTTTCTTTTTCATGACATTTTTGAAAGTATAAAATAGAAGGAAATAGGCATTAAAGTAAGGATTGATTGAACTTTTGAAAGTGCTTGAAAATGCGTGATTGCCTGGGAAACGGTAAATGCGTGATTTTGCGTTAGAAATAGGAAATGGTATATGCGTTAAAATGCGTGACTGCGGTGAAGGGGGTTAATAAACCACGGATTTTTTAAGCAGAAACAAAGAAAAACAACAGCTAAATTCTTTGCCACACAAGTTATGTGCAATATCATCGCGAAGCAGTGAGCTCTCGCTTACAATGACATGATTGTATAAAGGAACACTATAACCTTGTTGAAATAAGAGAATGTTATTTACTTGCATAATTAAATAACCTTTATTATTAAATATGTTGGTGTTGATTTATATACTCAGATTATTGATTTAAGAGCCAGTTATGCTAAAATAATCCCATGTTCCCCACTATTGTTGATGTCCCTGGCATAGTCTCCTAACTAAACAGTGATTCCTTATATTTCAATTTTTACTTGAAATAACAATTGTAAATCAAAATACCGTCTAATTTAGTAGATTTGATATACACCATACGTCCAATTTTACTAAAAAAAATAGTCCCATAAAAACGAAACAAATTAATTGATTATTTAGTCACTGTAGTCAAAAATCAACATTTATAAAATAAACAACAAAAGAATTTTAAATTGTGATCAAAGAAATCTTGTTAACTCTAATTATATCTGTGACCTAGATTTAGGTTGTCGGAAGCACGAACACGGATATAGGCCCTAGGTCACTTCTCCACCGCCATACTGAATGCAATGGCTCAGTTGATTAAATGGAGGTTGGTCATCATGGTCAGGAAACAGATTTGTATGGATGTAAAAATAACAGAGGAAGTTGCGTTGTTTAGAAGTCGGATGGTAAAGAATGAGGGAGATCTCTGTATCAGATGATGTCGTGAATCTTAGATATAATGTTCAAACGTTCATTGGTGTTAACAGTTTCAAGTCTTTGTTGATTAGGAAAGATAACTCTTGAACTTTTTATTACCAATTTTTTTTTAAACTGGAATTTTCATTTCGTTAAAACATTCTTGATTCAATTTGTCATATACAATACATTCCTGGTCTATTCAGAGCCTATTTTTCTTATATTTTATGCACATATTAATGACATTAATCATGTTGTTAACTGTTTTTAGTAGAAAACTTTTTTTTATAATAAAATTAATATGAGGTATTATGAGGCTTTTGTTTTAATTGTGTGTTTTTGTTACGTGATTTGCACTGTTTTGGGTCAATGCAAGGCAAGTAACAGCTTTAAGGTACATTGATACTCTGATAAGAGAAATAACTCTTAATGACACAAATGTTTATTATTCCTTTATAAATTTGTCAAGCCTAAGTGCCTTTTTGTCAAATTTTGCCAGCAAACCCTGCTATAATTCTTTGTTTTTTATTCAGAATATACATTTGAAAAATCATAAAAATTAAAGGAAAATTTCAAATAAGTGAGCAGAGTTTTTATGACCCTTAATGAAAACAGGTACATAGACAGCTACATTGGACGAGAAACCATAAAAACCCATTTGAAAACTATCCCAATCCACTAGCCAAGAATATAACAAAATTCTATCAATAATTATGTGTGAATAATGTTTGAAGTTAATTAAATAAACTTAAAAGTAAGTTAGAAATCATTTTTGAAATATATTTTGTTGCCTCGTTCCACAATTTTGCATGATAACAATATGACCTATATTTGTTCAAAAACATGTGAGCTTAGAAAATGCATTTAGTGGTATACTTCGTTTATATGTTATCAGCTATCAGTTATCATCAATGTGAGTTTGTAAGAATCTAATCTGCTAAATGTCTGTCCACAAACATCACATTCATTTATATGGTTTAACTCCCGTGTGTAATCTCATGTGTCTATGTTTGGTACTTGAATGTGACAATCAAACCCGCCAAAACAATTGAAGTTTTAATAACTTTTCAATGAAATAAGTTTTTAAATTAATTTTTGTGTGAAATGATATTAAAATATATAAGTCGTAATATTATAGGGAAAAAAACCAAATCTGTGTCCAAGCACCTTTAAAGTTCATTGGGGATTAAAATGTTCCAAAAAAATAACCTGGTCACTGATTTAGAAAATGTAGATCATATCTAGAATCCAAAGCAAGTCTCGACTGTCTATCCATAGATGCATCATCCATGCAGTTTTAATTATAACAGGCCATAAAATTAAAGAACTACTCCAAAAAACATTACTCGGGTTACTCATCTAAAAATGTAGGCCAAAATCAGCATCCACATCAAATCTAGTAGTGTCCATCCATATATGCATCTGATCATTCATGCAATTTCGGTCTGGGTAAGGCTTATAGTTTTTTGAAATCGACCTGCTCTAAAAACATTAATCTGGTCGCTTAGCTGGAAAATGTATGTCAGATCCAGCATCCAAAGCAATGCTGGTAGTGCCCTTCCATAAATGCAGCATCAATGAAAGTTTGGTTTGGGTAGGGTAGGGCTTAGAGTTACTTGGGAATTGACTTGCTCCTAAAACTGAAACCTGGGACACCAACGCCAAGATACCATAGGGTCATATTTTTTAAGTAACCTATATGGTAAATATTCTAAATAGCAATAACACAATTTTTGGTGTACTTATAATCATTAAAAACACTTTGAAAACAATGGAAAAATTAGGAGAGAATGAAAAATATGAACACTTTTTGATATAATACCAAGTGATGCTAGATATGTATTTAAGGAACGTGTCATTTGACCTTAAATCGACTTCATCGAGTTGGGCTAAAAATGCTAAAAACCTTCCATACACATCATTTCTACGAGGTTTTATAATCTGTTTGTACCCTTTAGTTATAAAATCGCTTGAAAGCTTTTTTTATTCATACAAATCACATTGATCACACATCACATTTATAAGGTTTTTCTCCTGTATGGATCCTCATGTGATTCTGTAAGCTACCTGAACGAGTGAATGCCTTTCCACACATATTACATTTATAAGGTTTATCCTCTGAATGTAATATCCTCCTGTGACTCTGTAAGTCACTTGAACGAGTGAATGCCTTCCCACACACATCACATGTATATGGTTTTTCACCTGTATGAGTCCTCGTGTGAATCTGTAAGTCCCTTGAACGAGTGAATGCCTTCCTACACACATCACATTTATAAGGTTTTTCACCTGTATGTATCATCATATGGTCCTGTAGGGCTTTTGCTCCAGAAAAACTCCTTCCACACACATCACATTTATAAGGTTTTTCCCCAGTATGTGTCCTCATGTGATTCTGTAAGTGCTGTACCTGGTTGAAAGCCTTCCCACATACATCACATTTGTAAGGTTTTTCCCCAGTATGTGTCCTCATGTGATTCTGTAATTGTTGTAACTGGTTAAATTCCTTCCCACATACATCACATTTGAAAGGTTTTTCCCCAGTATGTGTCCTCATGTGACTTTTTAAGTTCTGTGACTGGTTGAAAGCCTTCCCACACACTTCACATTTGTACGGTTTTTCACCAGTATGTATCCTCATGTGACTCTGTAGATTTTTTGACCAACTGAATGCCTTCTCACACACTTCACATTTATAGGGCTTTTCAATTGTGTGTGTACTCATGTGTGTCTGCACGTGTTGTGGCTCACTGAGTGACTTGTCAAATACATCATATTTATTGAGTGGTTTTTCTGTGTGTATCCTCGTATTTCTCTGTAAGGTACCTGATTCGTTCCGAGTTTTTTCACATGCATCACAACAATAAGATACATTACCAGTTTGTGTCGTCATGTCGATAGTAATGTCACTTAACACAGACAATGCCTTCCCAAAAATTTCACACTTAAAATATTTCTCCCTGGTTTGAGAACTTAGTTGTCTCTGTAACTGACCTGAACTAGTTGAATCTTTCCAACTGTAACACTTTAATGGCTTTTTACTTACATGTGTGCTGATGTGTCTTTCTAAACATCCAGTTTGATCCTCGTCTGAACAATAGTTCTGTAATTTTTCAGTATCGTTCTGAATATTTGAATGGGGTTCAAATTTTCTCCTCTCTTTCTGCAAAAATGACAAAGAAATCAGTTTCATTGCTCCATAGGGCACTGTTCTGATAGAATTTAATCTAAGGATATAAAATGTAAACAAATAAAGATTAAGTTATATTGATTCAAGGTTAAAGGGTTTTATTTTAAAAAAGGGTGAACGAGAAAGTGTAAATAATGGCCCCTTTAGCCCTGTGAATATCTGAAAATTGAAATTGTCCAGATTTGGTTAAAAAGACTGTATTTATGACTAGGCCCCTTGGTAAGTATGTATCTATAAACATGAAGTTCTCTCTGATCAATAGTTTACGAGATAATCATATGTGTGTTAATGTTTCTCTGTAAAACAAAATAACATCTGGACAAAAATTACATGCTTTAACAAGAAAATTCCAGGTGCACACCTTCATATGGTGAATAATAAGTGTACAAATTTTCAGAAAAATCCTTGCAATAGTTTTTAAGAAACGGTCTGCACAAGACCACAAAATAAAAATGAAACAAGAGGCCCAGGGGCCACAGCGCTCACCTGAGCACATTGGCTAGGAAAAAGCACATATCAGACCAGAACTGAAAGTTCACTGGAGGAGGGGGGGGGGCTTGAATTTTAACTCCCCAGGGGTTCATGATTTGAACTAGAATCTACACTATCTTAGGATGATTCCATATAAATATCTCTAATCATGGCTTTGAAGTACTTGAAAAGAAGATTTTAAATATATTGGTTTCCCATTATATCCCTATGTAAAACTTGGGTCGGCCATTTTGGCCCCACCCTAGCCCCAGGGGTCATGATTTGAACAAACCTGAATCCACACTACCTGAGGATAATTTCACAGGAGTTTTATCTTTCCTGTCTCAATGGTTCTTGAGAAGAAGATTTTAAAAGATTTTTCCTATATCTTCCTATGTAAAACTTGGGTCGGCCATTTCGGCCCCGCCCTAGCCCCGGGGGTCATGATTTGAACAAACTTGAATTTACACTACCTCAGGATGATTCCACATGAGTTTCATCTGTCCTGTTCTAGTGGTTCTTGAGAAGAAGATTTTTAAAGATTTTTCTTATACATGTATATTACTTTGTAAAACTTGGGTCGGCCATCGTGGCCCCACCCTTGCCTGGGGGGTCAAGATTTGAACAAACTTGAGTCTACACTACCTGAGAATGATTCCACATGAGTTTCATCTTTCCTAACCCAGTGGTTCTTGAGAGGAAGATTTTTAAAGATTTTTCCTATATATTCCTATGTAAAACTTGGGTCGGCCATTTTGGCCCCACCCTTGCCCCGGGGGTCATGATTTGAACAAACTTGAATCTACACTACCTGAGGATGATTCCACATGAGTTTCATCTTTCCTGGCCCAGTGGTTCTCGAGTTGAAGATTTTTTAAAGATTTTTCCTATATATTCCTATGTAAAATTTGGGTCGACCATTTTGGCCCCACCCTTGCCCCGGGAATCATGATTTGAACAAACTTGAATCTACACTACCTGAGGATGATTCCACATGAGTTTCATCTTTCCTGGCCCAGTGGTTCTTGAGAAGAAGATTTTTAAAGATTTTTCCTATATATTCCTATGTAAAACTTGGGTCGGCCATTTTGGCCCCACCCTTGCCCCGGGGGTCATGATTTGAACAAACTTGAATCTACACTACCTGAGGATGCTTCCATATGAGTTTCATCTTTCCTGGCCCAGCGGTTCTGGAGAAGAAGATTTTTTAACAAGAGGCCCACGGGCCTTATAGGTCACCTGAGTATTGTGTAACAACTTTCAAACAATTAAATTTGGTTCATGTTTTAAACCAGAGGCCATGAAATTCACAATTCACAATTTTGAAAGAGGCACCATTGCTTATCATAATTAAAAAAACTTAGCATGCTTACTCTACTTATTCAATACCCAGAGGTAGATCAGAGTTACAAAGAAAAAAATGTTCTTCCACTTTTTAACCAGTTGTGCACCTCACCCCAAAAGAACCACTGACCCTGGGGCCACATATTTCAAAATTTTGCAAATTTTATCGTAAAATGGTTGATTAATACCAAAGAGCAGATTTCAAAGCATTAATTTGTTTTCAGACTATGTAACCCCCCCCCCCCCCCGACCCAGGAGGGGGGGGGGGGGCATAAAAAATAATCATTTTGCTAGATGCACCTTTCTTCATCATAAATATATATACTTGGATCATTAGCATAAACCCAAAAGCAAAGGAAAATATTTTCAAAGAATTAATGTATTTTTTACTGAATAATCAAAAGAGCCATAACACCTGAACCCCTGATTCTGGGGCAATAAAATTCACAATTTTGGAAAAGGCACTTTTGCTTATCATAACAATGTGCTTAATTAGTTTATTTAATACTCAGAAGCAGAGAAGATTTTCAAAGAATAAATGCATTTTCACTATATAATCAATAGAGCCCCGCCCTTACACTGGAACTCCTGACCCTAGGGCTATAAATCAGACTTGTCGAAATCCGTCGGTCCTGTCGGCAAGGCCGGTAAAAATTTGTCTGGACCGATAACATTTAAGAAAACGTCGGTCCAGATGACCATTTAAAAGAAATTGAGTGTAATGCAAATTTAATAAAGGTCGTGATCGGGATGCGTAATTGAAGGTCACAAACCCAGAAAAAATGGCCGCGTACAAAGCATGTTGACGATAGCTAAGTAAATTTGTTATAGCAAAGTCATAAAACTTGTCATTTATGTCTATGTTAAAGACTCTCTATCCCAAGAAAGGAAACTTGTTAGATTGAAGGCTATTGAAAATAATAAAGTAGATTTTGGTGCTGTTATTCATATGACTGTCACTTTTTCAGCTTCAAAATAAAGGTACAAGTATCTGGCCTGACAAAAGTTTGACTGGTCCGACAGAACACTCGATTTTGTCAGACCAAATGTCTGACAGTAATCAAAAAAATTCGACAAGTCTGTAAATTTACAATTTTGAAAAAGGCACTCTTGCTCATCATAACTTTGTGCTTAATTATTTTAGTTTATTTAATACTCAGAAGCAGAGAGGAAGATTTTCAAAGAAAAAATGCATTTTCACTATATAATCTATAGAGCCCAGCCCTAACACTAGAACCCCTGACCCTGGGGCCATAAAATTCACAAATCTGGAAGAGACACTCTTGCTCATCATAAATATGTACTTAGTTTATTTAAAACCCAGAAGCTGAGAAGAAGATTTTCAAAGAATAAATGCATTTTCACTATATAATCAATAGAGCCCGCCCTAACACTAGAACCCCTGACACTGGGGCCATAAAATTAAAAAATCTGGAAGAGGCACTCTTTTTCATCATAACAATGTACTTAGTTAGTTTATTTAAAACCCAGAAGCAGAGAAGAAGATTTTCAAAGAATAAATGCATTTTCACTATATAATCAATAGAGCCCCGCCCTAACACTAGAACCCCTGACCCTGGGGCCATAAAATTCACAAATCTGGAAGAGACACTCTTGCTCATCATAACTATGTACTTAGTTAGTTTATTTAAAACCCAGAGGCAGAGAAGAAGATTTTCAAAAAATAAATGCATTTTCACTATATAATCTATATAGAGCCCCGCCCGAACACTAGAACCCCGACCCTGGGGCTATGAAATTTACAGTTTTGGAAAAGGCACTCTTGCTCATCATAACTTTGTGCTTAATTAGTTTATCTAATACTCAGAAGCAGAGAAGAAGATTTTCAAAGAATAAATGCATTTTCACTATATAATCTATAGAGCCCCGCCCTAACACTAGAACCCCTGACCCTGGGGCCATAAAACTCACAAATCTGGAAGAGGCACTCTTTTTCATCATAACTATGTACGGAGTTAGTTTATTTAAAACCCAGAAGCAGAGAAGAAGATTTTCAAAGAATAAATGCATTTTCACTATATAATCAATAGAGCCCCGCCCTAACACTAGAACCCCTGACCCTGGGGCCATAAAATTCACAAATCTGGAAGAGACACTCTTGCTCATCATAACTATGTACTTAGTTAGTTTATTTAAAACCCAGAAGCAGAGAAGAAGATTTTCAAAGAATAAATGCATTTTCACTACATAATCTATAGAGCCCCGCCCTACACTAGAACCCCTGACCCTGGGGCCATAAAACTCACAAATCTGGAAGAGGCACTCTTTTTCATCATAACTATGTACTTAGTTAGTTTATTTAAAACCCAGAAGCAGAGAAGAAGATTTTCAAAGAATAAATGCATTTTCACTATATAATCAATAGAGCCCCGCCCTAACACTAGAACCCCTGACCCTGGGGCCATAAAATTCACAAATCTGGATGAGGCACTCTTGCTCATCATAACTATGTATTCAGTTAGTTTATTTAAAACCCAGAAGCAGAGAAGAAGATTTTCAAAAAATAAATGCATTTTCACTATATAATCAATAGAGCCCCGCCCTAACACTGGAACTCCTGACCCTAGGGCTTTAAATTTACAATTTTGGAAAAGGCACTCTTGCTCATCATAACTTTGTGCTTAATTATTTTAGTTTATTTAATACTCAGAAGCAGATAGGAAGATTTTCAAAGAATAAATGCATTTTCACTAGTATATAATCTATAGAGCCCCGCCCTAACACTAGAACCCCTGACCCTGGGGCCATAAAATTCATAAATCTGGAAGAGACACTCTTGCTCATCATAACTATGTACTTAGTTAGTTTATTTAAAACCCAGAAGCTGAGAAGAAGATTTTCAAAGAATAAATGCCTTTTCACTATATAATCTATAGAGCCCCGCCCTAACACTAGAACCCCTGACCCTGGGGCCATAAAATTCACAAATCTGGAAGAGGCACTCTTGCTCATCATAACTATGTACTTAGTTAGTTTATCTAATACCCAGAAGCAGAGAAGAAGATTTTCAAAGAAATAATGCATTCTCACTATATAATCTATAGAGCCCCGCCCTAGCACTAGAACCCCTGACCCTGGGGCCATGAATTTCATAATTTTGGTAGAGGACTCAATGCTTATTACATTCATGCTAACAGTTTGCCTGCTTGATGTCCAGGAGTAAAGAAGATTTTTTAAGATTGCAATAATTTTAGTGGTTTTGGCCCCACCCCTCAGGCCCCAGGAGGGCGGGGACCATAAAATTCAAAATTTTTGTTTCCCTTTACCCATAGATGCTGCATACCAAATTTGGT